GGTTGCACTCATGTAGCACAACATTTGGATTGCCTGCATCTCCAGCCCCACTGCAAGCTGAGAACAGGCCCTTCGTGTGCATTTTGGCTGGACAAGGTTGCTGCCACTTCCTGTTTACATCCGAGGGAACTTGCCTTGCTCAGTTCATAGTGTGTCTCTTCCTCAACAGGAACCTCGTGCATGGAGACACACATGAGCCCCTGGCCATGAGTGAAGTGAACGTGGCAGGCATGCTACAGACAGGGCTTCCCCACCTCCAAATTTCTCATGGGGTTTGTGCAGTTGCTGCCAGCTGTTGAACTGACCTGGAGACTGCTGTGCAGAGGCTGGTGTCAGGCTCTGTGCACCCTGTGCCTGAGCTGCCCAGATGTGACCACCACAGTTTACACATCCTTTGCTAATTCACTGAAATGCTGATGACAAAGATTTTCAAGAGATGCTGAGGAAGTTTTACAGGGCTTGGTAGGATGGTGTTTGAACAATAGTATATATCATTAGAAAAAAGTGTGGCTGTTAACTAATTAACAAAACTATCTAATATTATAAGAAAGCTTGATACTTGTCAGAGGAACCCTGTTCTAATTGCCATTATTTTCAAAACTTACAGAACTATTGTTGTCCATCACAGATACTGCTGGCTGTACTCACACCACAGGAACTGACAGGTTCAGTGGAATTTTTCAGCATTCATAACTCCACAATGACAACCAAGTGATTTTCTGCACCTATTCTTTTCCCACAATATCTTTCGGACACTGCTTTCTCTTCCCAGCAGCTCCTTGCTCAGACATTGACCATCTCTCTCTGAAATACCTTCACTCTTGGTAGTACCACACCTTCCATGAGGTCCACATAAACCCACCCCAAAGTCACCTTGAGCAGCTCATTCTTTCAGTCTTCTACTGCAGCCTAAGGTAACTGACAGACGTCTCTTGCAGCAGCTGGTGTGCTTCAGAGGAAAAGCTCAGTCCAGTAACAACTTTATTTGCTCAACAGGCTACCAACACTCCTGAGATTCCCTGAGCACTCAAAGTACACCACCCTTTACCAAGCTGCTAGAAAAAGCTGAAGGTAGAAAGTGGGTGCACAAAAATTAAGGCAGGTTTTACTTTGCAGAAACAAATCACAAGCTCTCTTAAGTGACCTCCATTCCTCAATGCAACTGAGTAATAGAGCTTTGCAAGAGCTACTCACAGACCTTTTCCCCACGAGAGAGAGAAAAAAACACAGATGCCACACGAAAACATTGCACTGTGCCTAACAAGCAGTCTAAGACTTTCAGCAAAGGTTTGCCTCAAAGTTTTTGCCCCGGGTCCTCAATGACCAATGTGTAACACTGATATCTCCAAGGCTGCTGCAGGATGGCCTTACACACCTTTCTGCTTATGTCACTGTTTAGGGTCAGGGCCACCCCCAGACCTGTAACAGACACTCTCTGTTAACCTCCCTTCCT